ATCAAGTTACATTTCGTCTTGAATTTTGTTTGCAGCACTCGCAGAACTGTACATTGGTCTTTTTCTACGTAGAATTGTACCACATCCTACTCTACATCAAATTTGTGCATGCACTGTCATGAGATTCTGACATGGGATTAATAATTACATTATTTTGGTAGGATGACTGACAGATGGTGCACATGCGCGCGTTGAGGTAGTTGGTTCTTGCGCTCATCGGCTTCATTTTCTTTCCTGTCGCATTTCACCTACAGAATAGACTTCCCGGATGATTCTCCTCATTTGCTTCGGACATATTTTTGGCCACCCGTCATCGTCCCAACAAAATTGACTGACTAACTATCTCTCAAGGCATGCTCATGGAATTCTCCCCGAACGTCCTTGACTCCCAACCGCATGGATATGATATCAACGATATTTGGACGCCATTGATGGCGCCTGCTACCCAAATACCGGTCTGAATACATGGTTGGGCAGATAACTGGACGTCGTAGTTACAACATGAGCACAGGTACAATTTGCTACTGGTTGCCTCTGTAGAATGTTTTTATATTGGCGTATTACAACAGAGTGGCACCTGTTTTTAGCTGCCAAAAATCAATTGAGTATTTGTTGCATCAAAATCCGGTGTATGTGCATTTCTTAAGTGTACTATATCTGTCAGGCAGACCATTTTCGACCATGAATGAGCTTTATCCTCAACATGAATATCTCGGGCATCGATCCGCAACAATGCATAATGACGCAACAGTTATACGTCATTTCGACTTCTTTTTATTTAGGGTTTGAGAAATGTGGAATATGCTTGTGAAAAATTCCAGTGTTTGTGAAAAGTAAGTCACTAATCCACAGTTATATAGCGCAATAGGCAGGTGATGCTACTGAATCGCCTAGAGCCTTCGCACGCAGCATAAGTGAGAATAAGCGTTTAGTTTATTGGATTTCTGTTTGCCGGTCATTAAATGAATAACTAAATAAAAATGCCCTGTTATCTTGCATGAACACTAACTACACGTGCGGTCGACAGTAGCATTCGGTCTCTCATTTGCTTCGTACGCTACGAACTGCCCTGCACTCGGGGCCTGTCTCTAATGACTCGCATTTCAGGGTACTTAGATCCCATGTCAGTAGAATAACCACCTGTATCGCACATACCATAGCTCTCATTCCCCTACCACCTTGTTTCTATTGTATCATTGAACGTTATCCTAAAATAGCTCAAGAATGTACAACTTTTTTGAATAATTCCCGGACTGTTTTCTGGAGAGCGGGTTGTCCCACGAATAGAGTCTTAATATACAATTTCAACTATTTAGTTGGGTCGCGAAAGGTCCCTTTAACGACCTTCTGTATGTATTTCTCTCTTCGTATTATTGCAGCAATGAACAGAACGACGTCCAGGCCTTTGCTCCTATTGTTTCTGGTTCACTTCAAACGCTGTTATGTGCGGAAGATCTGGATCAGCACGTCTCTAATCTCCGTAGCCTCTGAAGTTCACACCTGGTCCTGTCGTGCAGTATGTTACTGAATGTCCTTTAAAATTGTCAAAAGGTCTCCGTAAGTCTCAATTTCCTTGACTTTAAACCCCCTACCGCTAATTGCAACACGATAGCGTCTTTTAAAAACTGCCTGGTCTGGAAATTTTATCAATCAAGCCATCTGTAAATTGGTCTTTGTGGATGCCACTGCGAAACCGTCCCTCACTGACAATTCGAACCCGACCATCCTCCTCCATTGCTTGTCAAGCCTTCTTTAGGGTCTGAGTGCGTACCGGTTGCCTTGCTGCAGTTTGGACACTGACCGTTAAATTTAACAGAAGTTCTGGAGGTTACTTGGTAGAATTTTATTCTTGTTTGTAGCTCGCTTTATGATGGCAATTGCGTCAACCAAAATAAGTGATAAGGAGTGCCCTTGGCGCGTCCACTTGAAATGTGAACCTAATGAGGATGATTTTCTTCTCTACTGCTTGCAACGATGGCTTTA